CCCCCCCCCTCCACCCCAAAGACCAGTTTCCTAGGGGAAACACTGTTATTTGTACACCAGCTTAGTATCAGTTATCTGCTTAAAGAGCGTGTGGTGGGCGGCTACAGCCTGCAGCTCTGGCTGTGAGTCCATTACACAACCGGCTTAATATGCAAGCAGTGTGAGGACTAATCGCTCGCTGTGTTCATGGTACAAGTTCAGAATACACAGATATGTGAAGTGATTTTTTTTCTTTAAAAAACCGAGGATGTAGCTGTTCTGTGAGTTTGTGTTCTAAACTATAAGACCAGCAACAGCTCTAAAACAATGTGAGAGCTTGAACTTGTATTATTTCACAATTTTGTTTGTCTATTTGGTATAAATTCGATTTTTATAGTAGTAAAAAATGTGGGCCTTCTTCATYTAAAGTTCAAAATCCGAATGTAGACTTGTAAGGGATGACTCAATTACTTCAACATAGAAATCTGTTAAAGGTTTAGTTAAGCTTTTCAGCTCCAGTCTAAAGTAGGGGTGTAACAATACATCAATCCACATCGATATATCAATTAAATGATTAATGGTTCAGTTGCATCAAGAAAAAATGTAAGACATTTTTATTGTATGCCCATCTAACACAATCCAATGGATGTGTTGAATGAATTGTGTTAGATGAAGCTATATATGGTATGTCCATCTAACACATTGTTTTAGATAGGCATATGATATTGTTTTMGAYAGGCATATGATATGCTGTACATAGTAGATCACAGAATTGACTTTAATTTCGAGAAACGTCTTATCGTCATCCAAACAAATGGATACATTGTGTAATAAAGCTGTTGATTTACTGTACACCCCCAGTCTAAAGTAGACACTGAGGTTTTGCCAAAATCCACTAGTGTAGTAGAGTAAAGATCTGTGATTTGTACAGGTTTACATGATGCAACTCAAAACAGCTAAGCAATTCTACAAGAAGATTAACATTTGTTCTTTTTCCAAGTGGCAGAACCTCTCTTGTAGCTCTGCAAGACACCGGTAACATCTTACACAGCTTCATTCATCGATCAATAGGAGTTTATGGTCGAGTGAACGTCCCAGTTTTTACCCCAGACTGCAATAAAGTAGGATAATTGTTGAAAATGGAAGGCACAGATGTGGTTAGGGGMAGAACATTTGTTCAATACAAATACAAAGATACAAGTTAGTAAAACCTTACAGGGCGAGATGAGACAAAACATCCAAATTGACAAATCTAAAATGATTTCATGGTGCAAATATCCGTTTGGGCTCTAAAACACGGTAAACAACAACCGATTTTGACCAAAGACGCAGAAACTTTTGCATGGTTTTACAGCAACGAGAAAACCTTGGTCTCTAGCTCTCAGTATAACCGATACTTTTTCTTTGTTCCCACCTTCAACTGTTGTAGAGGATCTTTTGTGTATTTGCGTTTTGAGTGGGTGAAACACAGAAAGATAGGGTTTCACTTCAAAACCGAAAAGTTCTACACTGATTGTTTCCTCTCTTCATGTCTGTTCATGCCGTGCTGTGTGTTTATTCTCCTCACAGTTAGTCCCCCCCAACCCCCTCCTCACACACACATTTTAATGAACAACAACAGAAATGCAGCTCAACAATCAAAAACAGGAACAGAGTTTAGAAAAGCAAAAACACAAAGAGGCTGTTTTTGTCCAATCAGCAGAGAGGCACCACATGAAAAGACACATCTTTAAAGTTCTCTCATGCTGTTAGAGATGGGAATGGTGCCTGGATTCAGACAGCTGGACCCTGCAGTGATCAGATCAAACACAAAGGGATGTGATCCTCTCCAAGCCAGTACAGCGTGGCAGCAGGGACCTTCTCTTGATTCCCTCCATAGATTTTTCATTGGGGAACGAACAGAGTTTGTCCTTCTGTTTTTAGGCACCCATACAGTCCCCCATAGACTCATTTCATGTGTATTTTACTCTAATTACTCACCTATAAAAATATGGTTTTGTTTTGATTTACTCAGTATTATGTGTGTGTCTGTCCTCTCCTCTTCCACGTGTCACACTGTTTGGATATTAAATCGAAGGAGACAGGTGGATTAATCATTCCTTTCATGCTGAAGCAATAAAAGTCAGACACCTGGCACTAGGTTTCTGGCAGTGTGGCAGAGCTGCGGGGGTCAGCATCTGTTCCCATCAATTCCTCACCGTGTGTGTGGATTGACCTTATTGGCAGCAGGGAGGTTTTCTGGGCACATACGGCCAGTTTCCGCTGATCACTTACTTCACAATCACTACAGTGGACAAATTCTGTCTTACAGGCTCCCCCTTCRGGCCCGTAGATACCTACTGTTGGCCTCAGATCAGCTGCACTGAAACAGCAGGAGTGTCTTCCCACCTGTTCATGCACAACCAGTCTGAAAAACAMACCCCTCTCAAACCATTGGAGGTGACTGAGATAACAGAAACAACTCAAACTTGATTCAAAGCAGGGTCAAGCATCACGAGCATCCTGAAAAATAAAAATCCGTCGCTAATCTTTTGTCTGTGGAAGAACACACACTACAAACGCATGTTTATGTGTGAAACTAGACGATCCTCAAGGATAGATTCTGTCCCGTTCCCACACCGTCACGCTTCTTTGACTCATTTTGACATAAATCCATACACAGCCGACTGGAAACAGGCAAGAAAATCCTCCAACAGCGAGGTATTATCCAACTGACTGTGTGAGCCGAAGCTTCCAGCAGTGGGATTTAGTTATTCTCTTTCCTCGCCCAGTCCCTGTGAGGTTTTAATCGCATCCTCTGTCCTTCTGTCCGTCTGCAGCCACTATTATATTAAACATAGCTAATATTTGCTCTCAGTTCTTACAAACCTGTCGGAGGATCGCTTACCCCGAGGCCCAGAACAAGGCGGCAGAATCTAATTGCGGGACAGTAATCAGGTTTGTTTGCTTCAAGCTTGATCCTAATAAATGTGTTTCTCAGATGGAAGCAATACAAGGGGTCCCGTTGAACAATACATGGAGCGGGATTATCAGAACCACTAAAGGGGCTATATCATGTGAAATCAAATTTTTTGAGTTTTATATTATGTTATAATGTTATCCTCTCATCAAAAACATGCCCAGAGTCTTGCTTCGACTCATTCATGCATGTTTGAGAACTCCTGTAGTGTCCTGAGGCAG